TAAACTGTCAGTCTGACTGGCAAAATGCCACGTCATTCCACTGTGATTGTGCCGCCTGTGATTCGGCCCTGAAGCTTCGAATGTTTCGAATTTCTCAGAGCGTATGGAGCGGGTTTTAAGAAAGGGTACTCCTCACATCATACTCCACACAGCACCATGGATAAATCCCAAAGCCGAAACCCTTCAAGTCGAGGCCATTCAAGGAAATGCCAGTTGCAGCCTTCCTTGGCTTCAAGCCAGAGTTTAGGGTGTACGCTCTCACCACTAGGGTTAGGGTTTGCGGCCACTTCAAGGCCCCGGTTGCATCGGCTCTGCGTTTTACGGCCTGGGGCTTACTGAAACTGCTGAAAGCTATTCACGACTACAATGGACACATTGGTCGCGGCTTGAGTGTGGCAGCAGGCCGGGAGTGCTGAAGATTCATAGCAGCAAGTTTGTCAAGCAGCGGCCACCGGTTGTTCGCCGACAAAAATCAAAAGCCTGTTTTAAAAAAAACAGTCAGTTGTCAGTTGTCCAGAATCAACCGGTATAGGCGAGGCTGCTGCCTTGAAACCTGTCCGAGGCCGGTGCAGAAACCCCTGATGTGCATGCATCTGGGCCATTATTTTCATCGAGGGCTCAATCGAAGGCACCCAAACTAACTAAAGACCACACAACACCTTGACGGGGTCCTTACAGGAATAGAAAGACCAAAAGAGTCTGCAGCCAGGAACATGGAACCTTAGAGTACGACAAGACAACCCGGTACACCCAAAAGTACATGTATTAGGGTGCATGATGTAATGCTTACGCCCTAGACCCCAAGCCAAACTCGCCATGTATGTCTATGCAAGCGGAACTAGTAATAAGTAGCCTACACCTGCATTGACATATTATGCCCATCGACAACCAATTTTAAATTCTAAACCCATCCGATTGGACCCCAGATCCTGAGACGCCCGCTTGAGGAATATTTGCCTATGCACTCACCTGACCCAAATTGCGGAGAGCTTACTGGCTTCGGCTTTTAGGGCTCGGGCTTGGAGTTGCGAGTTTGAGGGTTCGGGGTCCAGGATAGACATTGAGAAGAAGGGCTTGGTCCTGCCTTAGTACACTTTCCGAGTGCTAGACCAGGCATTCAGGGTTGCCGGTTCTTAGTTCCCTTCTCTAGGCCCAAAAGACCCGGAACTCCTTAAGCTTGATTGAGATTCAGGGTGGGTTGCTCTTGAGGCAGCGCAAAGCTTCTCGGCATTTGTTTGGCTTGCGATGCATTCTCGGCATTTCGGGCTGCGTTGCTTTCGGTTGTCCCTTCGCTGTCTCACGCAGTGTTCGGGCCTGTGCCATTTCTCGAAGAGTTTCCTTGCTCAGGGTGCCCTCGCAAAATTTCCGGGCCCAGGGTCGAGTCATCCACACGAGAAGCAGAGCAGAAGGGCAACGCAGCTGAAGTGCCGCAGTAAACCAGCAGACTTCTAGGACAAAGCACCCCAGCAGTGCGAGGATTCGGGCGGCTATGGCGATTCTACTGGTTCTATCATCACCGTTCATTCCATGCCTGCCATGACAGCAACAACCAGAACAACAAGCTTGTTGGCGTAGCGGTTGAAGCTACCGGTGACCTCTTATGACGACTGTCCCTGAACTCTTGAAGTTGAGGTGCCAAAGTTCCAAAGCACCCAAACCAACGGAATCCAACCTAGGGGTCTGACCGGTACTCGGAGGTGTTGGGTCGCTTATTCGTAAGCGTGAGATTCAGAGTCTAGAGAAGCATGGTCATACGTGGGGAACCTATGGCTAACGGCTAAAGGATGCTAAAGGTACACACCACTCCAAACGAAGGATGTGATGCTTACGACTCCAGGGCGAGCTAATTCCAACTAGATTCGAAGGATACCTAAACTTCCACCCGAAACAGTCCAATAGAAGCGCTGGCTGTCCTCAGTTTCCAAATTACACAGGGATACTGGCGCAGTGCCCACGGGGCTTAGGAACGGCTGGTGTTCCTACCTCCGGCCTAGCTTTAGCTCTCTAATTCAGATCTTCCTACGCAATACGCAGTCTGAGAGCCACCCTGCGCAGGTAGTCTGCAGAAACCTCCGAAGGTCAGATGCACTTTTTGGGGGTGACGGGATGCCTCGCTTTAGGGGAGGGGCCCAGCACACGACAGGCTGAAGATACCCAGAAGTCTAAGCCTACACATCCAAGAGATGACGATAAGACCCGAAGAACCTCTTCAACGGCCTGTGAAACCGTGCAGGCATGGCCAGGGTATCTTCAGACCATTGGAGCCGACTTTGTCTAGAGCCCCTTATATGCGACACATCAGGGGTTCTAAGGCATCTAAGCCCTCAGTTGGGGCAGCTCCTCCCTCCTTTCCGCTGCTGCCTTCCACCCCCGCCACAGGGTGTCGGGCAGAGGCTCGGGTTGCCGGGGTCGGATTATGAAGCTTTACCGGGTGCCCCATAGAAAGGCAGGAAAGAAGACGGAGACTGCCCAGCCGAGACTGGGTTCCGTGGAAGCTTCGGGGCTCGAGGGTTTTAGGCCCTCAAAACTATGCTCTTGGAGATTTCATGAGCTGCATCCTACCGGTTCGACGACTGCAACATTATGCAACCCGCGCCGAACCCAAAGCTCTGCGCAAACCCTACACCTAATGATACAGTACACCGCCATACCTGATCCTTACCTCAGACAGGTGTGTTGAATACCACAGCAACCCTGTTTGGGCCTTTTCTTTCTGGCCACGTTTCAAGACAACTATACGGGGCCACGAATAACTAGAAGCAAAACGTATTCAAACAGCACCCAGCTCGTGAAGCCAGTTCACCCGGAAGGCTCTTAATCCCGAGGAGCTACTTTCCCCGCATCCAGGCTTAGCACCAGTTAAAGCTCAGGCAGAGGCCTAAGGAAAGTGTCATCGCAGACCTTCAAAGCAGACACGACCCCCATCTTGGCCACACATTTTGTAGATGTGTCCACTATAGAAATATTTAGGAAACGGCAGAAGAACCTGACACTTTGCCGATTCGAGAAGTGTAGTCTGGCATTGGTACAAGAAGGACCTCGAGTGCACCACAAACTTGGAACCTGTCCTTTACTGCCTCCCCGGAACTGATGCCGCGGGCAAGGCAAATAATTAGCTCTAAAGGGTCTACGGATTACTTTTCTTCTAGCCATCATGATTCCAAAAACAGTACGAAGAACAGCGCAGAAAAAAGCACCCGAAGCACAAGGACGCAGGCAGCATTCCAGTCAGTGTTCGTGGAGGTGGGACAGAACACGGTTAATCGATCAAGGTTCGGGGTATTGCTGCTTTCGTGGTCTAAGGCCCTGACGAAAACACTGCAGCAGCAAACTTCTGAATTCCAAAAACTACTTCATTGCAATGCCTGTGTGTTACCAACTAAGCCAAGCATAGCTTCTCAAGTCGATCTGAACACTTTAGACTTCAGTCTCCGCCCTAGACATTCCCTGGCCTGCCGGAACCCTAACCTTAGGCCCTAGACCCTTGTGGCTGAAGCATACCATGCCCCAAGCCCCAAATGCCCTCGGCCTCCCCCCCGGACTCATTGTAGGGTTTCAGCCTAGACCTTAAATTCGAGGTTCAGGGCGAGCCGCTCTAAGCTAAACCTACTTCGGGCATGCCTGCCCCGCGGCATGCTTAGAACAATGTAACAAGCCAGCCGCATAAAGCTGAGCTGGAGTTGACAGAATGTATGTTTGCCTCAGGCCTCCAGGTACTTAGGTTTCTGCGATGCTGCTAATCCCCTCCGAGCCCTTACGCTGCTCAACTGCGTCGCATTCGAAGGCCCTCAGAGGCCGTGAGGGGCCGTGCAGGGCCAAGACCACATTTACCTTCAAGCCGGAAACATGTGCGAATGTCTTGAAGTTCAGGATTCCAAAGTCCGGTATTCCGGTACAAGCGTTCCAGTGCTCAAAGCAAAAAGGCTTTTTGGGCGGGGCTTCGACTCTCACGACTTAGGCTACCTGTTTATTTTGTCGGCTCTTTCTGCCCGCGAAGCTCCCATTTCGAGCGACAAGGCTTTCAGAGTACAGCAGGGCTTTGGGATTGCTCTATTGCAAAATGCTCCGTTTCAACCCCTATGTCACCATCTGTCGAGGAATAACCTTCCACAACGGCAACAAAAAAGTAGCATCAGCACCAAGATCTGACCCATTGTCAACATCTCTATGCTCTGGCTGTGAAACTCTGTTGCATGCAGTGAGGGAATGCGCCAAGGTACTCATCGTGGCATATATAAATTTACATCTGGGGCAGATGCCATCACTAGCTGCACTTTCTTTCAACCTTGGGAAGCCCAAGCTCAATCACACACAGATCCCAGAACTGGGAAAGCATGGTACAAGGATATGCAAGCCTGACTAGTGAAAACGGATGTGTAACTCTCTGGACTTTCGTATAGGTCAGTCAAAGATTTTGAACTGCTCCCCTCTGGGTATGTCAACATTAGGCCGTTATCAGGCGGTAACTTCCAAACATCTACACGAATAACATGCGCTCTTCCGATGAGACCTCCCATGCTGGGAGTCCAGGTTTTTCAAGCTCGGGGCCTGGGTTTCAGCACTCACAACTGGGCAAAGCCTGATGATTTAGCCTTCAGGATAATTTAAGTGTTCCACTAACACGGCAGGTCTGACAGCGGCACGATGAAAGAAACATTCGTTATTAGAACACAATTGTTCCAGGTCCTGCCCGCTACCACTTCAATTCACCTAAATCTCTTTCTCCTTCGCGAGAGCCGGGCTACATGGCACGTCTAACCCCGAAAATGAAACTAATGAAACCCAAAGCCGAGAACCGCAACCTCTCACCCGCAACCCAATAATGACGGTCATCCGACTGAGGCCTTTGCAAGTCCGGCCCTCCTCATCCTAGCGCTCCGAAAGCTTGAGACTCTGAATCCTAAACCTTTCACCACAAACTTAGTATTGGTAACCGGGAGGTCAAGCTCGAAATGACTTCGCTTCCGAGGCACCGGTCCGCGGAGGACGAGCATTGGAGATTAATGCGGCATCAAGAACACCTCGGCCAAGGCCAAGGCCGGAAGCCTAAAGCCCTCGTCGAGGGCTCGTGAAGCTCTCGAATTCCCGGCCAACTTGCCGTTTCCAACATGGTTGTGGAGGATGGCCAGATCTTGGGGCTCTGGAGGATGACATGGATGACGGCGGGGGCAGGCATGACAACGCTAAAGCTTAAGCGGAGAGTCCTCTTGAGAAATCCAGCGTGCGCTGGCTCAAGTGATCCTAGTCGCACACTGGTGGGGAACAGAGAACCGCATCAGACCCTGGAAGCTCTTCTGCTGCGATTTAAATGATGACACTCATTTTGGAAAGAGCCCTGACGCCCAGCTTGTGTGGAAAATGCAAGCAACCACCCCCAAACGCTTCGGAGGACCTATCGGTCCTGTCCCGGGCACCAGGTCACTAGGTGAACCGTGGAGACTCAAGCATGGAATCGCAGACACTACAAACATGGATACTGAATGAGCCGAGCTAGCCAAGTGTTTGTGGGTTTCGGGCTGGAAGCTCTGCCAAGATCGCACTTATTCAATCCCAAGCTCACTCCCATTGAGAAGAGGCGCCGTCCCGGTGTTCCCAACGGCAGTGACCCATCCCACTTTGCCATCGTTTTTGGTCTTGCACTTCATCCGCATCAGGCCGGACCTGATGCTCACGTCTGCTCGCTCAGGGTTGCTCTGCAAGTCTCATCATCACTAACACGATTGTGGAAACCCAGTCTGGTCTCTGTGTTCTTCTTGCCGTTGGGCGTAAAGCAGCGGCAGCAGCAGGAGTAGTAG